ATAAAAGAGAATACCAGGTTAATGCACCCTTGGTGAGTGTTTCTCCAAATTTCTTGACCAGTATTGATTCAATTTCTTGTTTTGTTAAGTCGTTGCCTTTCACGCCTGTTGTAAATGCAGTCACGTGGTCACGTGGGTCTGTAGTACCATCATATTTCGGGATGTCAGGCATTTTGAACTTTTTCGGAATTGGAAGGGGAGCAGCACTTGGCTTCCATGGTTGTTGTGAGTATTTGTCCATGTCTACTCCTTTTATTACAGGCGGAACTCCAGGGATTTGTTCAATACGCTCATTTTGTTCCTTAATCTGTTTCTGCAAGGTTAGTACTAAATTTTGCAAATATGAATTATTTGAATTACCTGGTCCCCCTTCCTGTGGTTCACTGGGGGTTGCTCCGTTTCCAGAATTATCAAGACCAGAACGGGGATTCTCCAATGTATTATTATTAGGAGTTGGTGTGGGTGGTGCAGCAGGCAATCGACTAACTAAAGCCTGAAGAGCTTTGCCGACCTGAGCATCAATTAGCTTTTGTAAAGCTTCATTTGTACCTCCTTCAAAGTGTTCAGGTTGTTCTTGTTGATCAGCACGGGATTCAGTAACAGGAGTGCTTTCACGAGATTGACGTGGTGAATCTGGAGGGGAGGGAACCACGTCACCTTGATTTTGATGGATTTAATTTTCATGGTTTCCCAATGTGTTATTACTGTTATTGTCAGTGTTGTTGTTTGACATGGTGATAACAATGGACAAGATATAGCTTAAAAGAAAATATTATCAGATTCCCGGTAACGGAACCAATTTGTTTAACCAAAAATCTGAGTCTTTGATCAAAGCTAAAAAGAAATTCGGGTTACTGATAATTAGGAGACGAAAATAAAATATTTTTGTGAATGATGGTAAAACAGTAAATAGTTTTGTATTTCAGTAAGATTCCAATAGTATCCTTATATATGGTGAGTTCTTCTCCTTTTATAGCTAATTCTAGGAGAAGATGTAATGCATTTGTCTTAATGAGGCAATTATGAGCAATAAATGACATTAAAAGAAACGTTACACAATCATTTCTTTTTAAATTAAATATTCTAACGTATTTGATATTCAATGCTGTATTTAGACTCTTTTACGTCGTCAGATTCGTATCTTCAACTTCTTCCGATCTTTGGTCTTAAAATGACTTGGATAGGTACGAGACTCGTACCTATTTTAGTAACGGTCCGCACCTATGTTGCTTTCTTTTTCCCTTATCTGTTATCGCCCGTGCCTCTTGGCTATTTATTGTGTTTTGACCGTTTGACCAGTCCACGTGTCATGTCACGTCACCTACAATGTAAATTCAGTTTTTTACCAATATAGTCTGGTGCTTCTTCTTCTTCTTTCACAATCTTTAGTGAATGAGGATGAGTTGGAGGCAGCGGAGAAGCAGTTAGAGGCAATGCGGGAACAGGTAGAGATGGATTCATTACGGAGACAACTACAAAAGCTGACAGAAAGGCACGAAGCAGGTCGTTTAAAATTTGCTCAATTTGAGAAACTAGTGCATAAAGTCACTGAGGTAAGTTTTCTATTTTTATTTTTTTTGTATTTACTGTTTTTCCTTTTTCAGATCTTACTCAGTGTTTCTTTTTCTATGTTTTTCTTGTAGTTTATTTACTATTTTTGCTTTTTGCAGATCTGTATTTAGTTTATTAGGATTTAGGTTTTATGTGTGAAAGTAATTGATAAAAATCTGTAAAAATGATTTGTGATAGTTGTTTGAAATGATATTTATAGTTTTGTGCTATCTTTGTGATAATTGTTGCGATTTTCAATTCCATTTAGTTAATGAAAATTTTATGCTGTATAGTTGACGTTGGCTAATTAGTTTAGAAGCGCGTAATATATTCAAGTGAAAAAAATTGTAGTGTCTAAAAACATATTTAGCATCAAATTTAAAAAGATATGCATTGAAACTTTAATTTTTTAGTCATAGACAATTAGCAATTGTTGAGAAAGCCTAGCTTAACATAGCCAGAAAACCCTGAAACATGACAAAAAAGGTAGGAGTGTGACACTTAATTAGAGAAAATCGAAAGGTTATGCTCCTTATAAGTTAACTTGTACATTTAATTGAGAATATCTAAAAGATTGTTATATTGAAGAATTTAAAAAGTGAATTATTTATTTGTTGATTGTACGTGCAGATGGAACAACGACGTAGATGGATGTATAAAAGGAATTATCCCAATCGTGGAGGGTTGAGGGAAGAATTTGTACAAGGGGTTGCTGGATTTATTGATTATGCAATGTCGCTCTCTCAATTTTGTGATGAAGGTACGATTAGGTGTCCTTGTAAGAAGTGTAAGTGCAAAAAGTTGTTGAAGCCGGAGGATATTAAACTTTATCTTAATGAAAATGGGTTCAAAAAAAAAAAATTATTTTTGGACTGCCCACGGAGAGATTGCGCCTAATATGGATATGAATTTTCAAAATTTACTAATGAGGAGGCCTTTCAGAAGAAGAGTACTAAGGCAAAGGGTGTTCAAGCATCTGAAAAGGGCGGCTCGTTGCAGAACGATGGTTTAGCTACTACGAGGACTCCCCGGAGGAGATTGGTAACTTATTTGATATATTTATCTTAGTTTTTAACTATATTCAGGAATTTCTAATAAACACCTATTCTTTCTTTTGCATCAAAAGACTTACAATGAAGTCTTCCAGGAGACCAACACCATGAAAAAGGAGGATGAAAAAAAGGATTGTGTTAAACTGCAGGCTAAGCAAACATATGTAAGATCCAAACATACTTCTTATTTCGTGTTCTTTAACAAAGTTCATTTTGTATAATTATGATTACTTTTCTCACAGAATGAGTATAAACAAAATTTGGAGGAGGACATTCAGAGTCAGTCGATTGACGATCAAGATGGGCCAAGCAACCCATCTGATAATGTGGACATTTCTCTTAAGGTTGTTGGTGGCGTACATAAGGAGAGAGCCTACGGCGTTGGATCAGAGTGTTCATTCAATCGTCAATCGCCAGGATCGCCTGTTGCTTCTTATTCTTCACAGTCCTCTGTGAATCAGGGTGAATTGGAGGCAACACGGAGGAAGTTACAGGCAATGCGGAAACAAGAAGAGATGGATTCATTGCAGAGAGAACTAAAAGAGGTGACAGAAATGTTTGAAGCAGATTTTTTAGAACTTGATCGGCTGCAGAAACTAATGCATAAATTTATGCACAGTCGTCGATCTGATCCAGTGTCTGACACCGACTAAGATGGCGAGAATTTAGTGTATTGTACTTCTGATGTTTGGAACTTTGACTTGTTTGATTTGGTTAGAATGTTACATGGATGGCGGATTTCTCTTACTCATTCATATGATGATCCTAATTGAAATTTGACTCGTCCTTGAGATATCACTCATTGTTATGTGAGTCTAAAGAAGAGAAAAGCTTCCAAATTTCCTAGGCTGAGGAATTATTTCCTGCATAAATCAGAAAGTTTAGAGAGGAAGTGAAAGGCTTTGATATTTCCGAAGGACTGATGAATTGTCCTCTACATGTATTATGGTTCAATAATACATGTTGCTTGTGTGAAAATTAGAGAAGTAAAGAAATGTTATAGTTCAATAAAGCAAATTATAAAATAATTTCTGAGCCCACAAGTTGTTTGTGTGTCCTAAAGGAATTTAATTCTGTCACTGTTACCCAAGATGGATTACTTCCTCCCAGAATAGAACGGAAAAACTATTATGTCATACTGGCAATCGAAATTGTAGAACTTCAGCGAACTCAACAAACGGAATAAATCACACTTAATACTTATATGTTTGTTTTGAAAAACCAGTGCAACAATGTACACAAGAAAGGGGAAGTTTTCAAATTTTTCTCTATGTAAAAATCAAACCTCTAAATTTATAGACAATAAAAGGGTAAAATAAAAAGGTACAATCTAAAAGGTGTATCTCTCATTCACACCCTTTAGAAGCAGAAATACCCAACACTTCCTAGATAATGCGAGGGAAATCACTAGAGAAACTAGGGGTGGGCGTTCGGTATTTCGGTTCGGTTTTTAGAATTTCGGTTCGGTATTTCGGTATTCGGTTTATCAATTGTGTATACAAAATACCGTACCAAATTATTTCGGTACGGTTCGGTATTTCTTATTTTGGTTCGGCACGGTATCGGTACGGTTTCGGTTTTTAACAATCAATGCTAATTGCTAACTGCTAAGTTTTAAGTGTTGTGCTAACAAGTAACAAACAGTGGACTATGCACTATTTTTCAATATATAAGTGGACAATTGGACTTTGGACATGCACAGCACAAGAACGTACACATGGCTGAAAGCCTGAAACACCAACACTGTAATTTTCACTCTAATTTGACACTATAATTTTCACTCTAAAACTGTAAAACAACTGCACAAGTGCACAACGTGAACGTGCACAAGCAGTCAAGCACAACTGCACATGGCTGAAACCTGAAAGCCAGAAACTGTGACAAGTAACAAACAGTGGACTATGCACTGTTATTCAATATATAAGTGGACAATTGGACTTTGGACATGCACAGCACAAGAACGTGCACATGGTTGAAAGCCTGAAACACCAACAATGTAATTTTCACTCTAATTTGACACTATAATTTTCACTCTAAAACTGTAAAACAACTGCACAAGTGCACAACCACAAGTCCACAACGTGAACGTGCACAAACAGTCAAGCACAACTGCACAATGTTCAGTCTGATATATACAATAACTCTGAAACCTGTGCAGTTGTTCAGTCTGATATATACAAAGCAGTGCACATGGCTGAAAGTGAAACCTGAAAGCCTGAAACTGTGAAACAAGAATAACATCTGGTCATCTGCAGTTGCACAACTATATTACTGCACAAGAATAACATCTGCAGTTGCAAAAAAAACATCTGCAATTGCAGAATAATATCTGCAGTTGCACAATTGCCAATTGCATAGTACTGATTACACAGTTAATGAGTTAAACATTTAACACAGTCCAACAATTCCAACAACTTAAACACAGTCCAACAAAAACAGTCTTAACAAGTC